TTTAAGATTGCAAATTTTATCAGCTTCTAAATTTCAACAAATTTTTAGGCATCGATCCTGCTCAGCTTCTGAAAGTGTTCATTAATGATTTTACAAAGAGTGCTGCTTTTATAGAGTTTGCTCTAAGAAGGGTAAGCCTTTCTGTGACATTTAATATGAATTATTTCTACAGAAGTGTCACGCCTATTGTTCTTACAAAAGGTTTTTTTTCCGCAGGTGTCGGGCACATCACGCTCGGTACTTCTTGCGACAATTCTGGAGTTACGCCTACGAGATTATGCCGAAGGCAATATAGTGAGCTTTTTATTAAATTTCTTAGCAATAGTATATTTTATGTGTATTTATAGTTACAAATACTCATACTTTCAGGAAGATGCAAAATGTGAAGAACTGCTGATCCCGTTCATAGAAGAGGAGAACATGACTGAAGCACTGCATCTCGCGCGAGTTTTTCATTGCTTCCCCGTTGTGCAACACATTTTGAAAAAAACAGGCCGGTAGGTGCTCTTTTCGCTTTTCTTCTGCCTCCTCTGGAATCTTATTAATTCCAGAACAAAAGAACTCATACAGTACTACTTAAAGAATGGCAAAATCAAAGAAGTCGTCGAATTGTGCAAGAATGAAAAGTATGCGGTACATCCACTTGGTGCTTTTTCTTTTGTCGCTTCTGTGTACACTTTATTATTTCAGAAAGTCGGATATGTGGATGGATCTTCTGGTGTACATCTCCAAGAAAGAAGGGCCTGTAGATGAGAAAGTGGTGCAAGAGATGTTGGCAGGGTCAGTCCTCCGGTTTATTTGTTTAGTTATAGCTAAAATAGGTACACTTTTCAGCTTTTTTCGAATGCGAGTAAATGAATGAGTTTTCAGGATTTCTAGAAGCTTTACAAAGTATCAAGTTGCTACATAATTTCCCTTATCTTCTAGCGCTCATTTTTCCGCAATTTCCATTCTGATCAGCACTTTGTGTGATGTGTTCTCATTGTTTGAAAGCTCTTTTTT